CCATCATGTAGGCAGGAGAGGCTCTCCGGAATGGAGACTATTAGGAACAAAGTGACCTAAAACACTGACTACCACTCTCTGCCTCACTCACGGAAGATCAAGTTCTATAACCTATGCAAGGAAATCAGCCAGGACAAGATAATAAATGTATAAGGTAACAAAAATACATTACCCAGAATGAAGTTATACTGTGCGAGCTGAGCATTTCTGATCTTCTTATTCAGTGTGCACCCAGGATCTACATCAACATCTGCCATGAATCCGGCATCGTGGAAGTGCTGCCTGACCTAAGAGAAAAAGTATTTAAACTGTCACTATAGGATATTCATGACAATTTATGACTTGTAGAGTTAGGCCAGCTAAGCTTATCTGACCCCTAAAACACAGGCACTGTCATTGGCTCAGATGCTGGAGATGAGCCCAGTTCAAGAAATGAAAACAGGTCAGCTATCATGCAAGTACATACACACTGAATACCTAAGCAGTTATGTGAATATCTAATGTTTTGGGCTGAACAGCACTTGGAGTTTGATACTGTAAAAGGCAGCATGTTGGTGGAGCTTTCTGATCAGAAGAGATTTTTTAATTTATCTTGCAGACTATTTAATTTATATATTGTGTGCTTGAAAAAAATCACAGGTCTGCTGGATGCTAAATATGCATCTTCATTTTTCTTACTGCTCTGAAAGATGTGTATATCCACAGCAAGCTAGAATCTGAAGGGTAAGACAGCTTTTGAGAGAAGAAAAAAATATGTTTTCCAAAAATATAAGTCTTACAAAGATTAGCACTTGTTGTTTAGATACCCAAAATCTATTTCAGATCATCTTTAAGAGAAATCTACAACTACAGCAGCTGTCCTTCTACAATAAGAATGATACTACGTAATATGCAATGACTTGTAACATTTATCTGAGATGAATACTATTAATAACCAAGTATCTCAACTAAATACAACATACTGGGGAAAAAAAACGCAACAACCAAAACCCAAACATATACCTCACCTTTTGAGCATACTCATCACATGCTGGTCCCACTGGTACCACCATTACCTGCTGTGGGGACAGCCAGAGCGGCCTTCAATAAACAAACAAAACAAGTTTGTAAAGTTTTCAGTATTTTTTTAAGAATGAAAAGTCCTGTTAACAGATAAGACTAAGATCTGTTTAATAGATTCATAAAGCCAGCTGCTTAGATTGGGTTCAGAGGTGATGACAGCCTTATACTTGTTACAATTATTTCCCCCAAGGAAATGAGTGTCAAAGAACTGCAGTATGGACAGAATTACTTTCTTACCTAAAGATTCAAGTTATCTTTACGACAGGCAACAAGTGATAATTGAGTTGTTGAGCTTAGTACTAACTAATCATGGGAAAACATTTACTTTTAAATCTTGTTATGATCAGAGAGGTCATCCCCATCTGGTATTACACTGCATCACTACATAAATGACTCTTTGCATGGCAGCCCAGCTGCAAAAGCAAAGCTGAGATACACATCTTGGGCAGACAAGATGTATGCTGCAGCTGCGTGAGTGGCATCACGTACAGGCTACCATATCCAGAATTATTTAATATCTAAGGATGGTGGTTCAGAAGGATTGCCCTGAGGTATACCTACAGCATGTCTCTATAGCAAGCAAGTACAACAGACCGTCTTGATTCTTGCATGCTTGGGGCTAATTTCTCTTCTACATAAAACATTTGCTCAAACTGGAATAATAGATCTACTTTTCAACATTACCATTTGCCTCCATAGTTTTCAGTTAGAATGGCGATCATTCTCTCCACAGATCCCAGGATAGCCCGGTGAATGATAACTGGTCTTGTCTTGTCATTGCCATCATGGCTGTGAAAAAAGGTGGGTTTTTCAAATGTAAAGGTTTTTTCTGGGTGCGAACATATGCCTGTGACAGGAAAGTTGGATTACACAGCAATTAAATACACCAGCCTCTGCACTTACCTGACAAAGGTGAGGTTAAATCTGACTGGCAGCTGGAAGTCAAGCTGGATTGTAGCAGACTGGTGGTAGCGGCCAATAGCATCTTTAATCTGAATGTCAATCTTAAAACCAAAAAGACACAAACTTTTACTACAGTTTAAGATGCAAGCATGCCCGTCTGAAAGCAAATTTGTTGTTTTAAGATGGAAGGTTTCACTCAATGCAGAGGAACTGTATGTGGTTTTAGACAATATAGTTTTACTTCTGCATACATTAGGATTTAAATGATTTGCAGGTTCTGATGCAAATTATGTCAGAGCTAAAATCAAGGTGAACATGCAGAGAGACATTAACTCAGACTATTTTTTGTGAGTTTCAAGCTGGGACTTTAATGGGCCTTTTCACTGAGAGAATTCAGCAACATACAAGTGCAATTTCAAGATCAGAACTGAACATGTATCCCCCAAAATGTGACTTCAACCTCGAACTGGCAAACTTGCACCCCTGGTTTATGCAGTATTTGAATATTCTGTAGCTAATGTTACATACTCAGGGCATGAACATGGGAGTTCACTTACCAGGGAGGTCATCTTAGTGACACTTGTTCTGTACTATGAGTAACTACAGTCAAGCCTATTCTTTCATTTCTTACACTTTAATCCTGAGTACAGTTATGATACAAGTTAGACAGATGTGTAGAAAACAGCAGATTTATAATGTCCTGACCTTATTCATTTATCACATTGCTCTCTTATTCATCACTTCACCAGTATGGCTGTATGCTGGAGCTGTGTGCCTTATTTTGATTTATGTATCAAACAAACAGATCAGTGTTCTATTAACTGAAGTTCTAAATGTCTTCCAGTTTTGCATTCAGTAGCCAGAGCTTATCATAGTTCAGCTAATCACCAAAAAACTAATTTGCAATCTTGTTTAATTTCAAACCACCCAGTCACAGAGTAGAAAAAAAACCACCCTATCCAAGTAGTTTAAAGCTTCTCTAGATGTAGAGCTTAACTTAAAAATGGAACTCTAACTACTTTCCGTTAAAACCGGTACAAAATACTACATGTCTGCTTACTTTATGTTGGCTAGGGTGTATTAGGAGGAAGTATAAAGTTAATTAAGGATAACAAAGGTTCCTGTAGATATTTGCCACCTTTCAAATCAAGTGAGGGAATTACTAAACGTAAAATGCAAACAAGATTAGGAATGATTAGCTGCTATAATACATTTCACCTACAACCCACAAAATCAAATTGATTCAACTACCACACAAAGAGAGAAATCAGAACCAGTTTATTAGATAACTGAATGTAGACATAGATG